GTGCCACCACCCTGACCAGTAGTCCCAGGCATGGTGTTGTAAAAGCACAGCTGCATGCCCTTTTACAATCTCCCACCATGCATGGTTAGGAAAATAAATCTGGCCAATGCCAGCATGGGGTTGTCTCACTACCAACACTTGGGCACTTCTACACGGGACATTCCACTGACCACATCTCTTGGAAAGCTACGTCCTGATGCCTTGATGCCAGAGCTGAAAAGGGGCCAATTTCCACTACTATTCAGAGCCCCTTAAGACATAGAACCAGGGGAGGGGACACCTGAATGGGGGTTGGCTGACAACTTCCCCCAGGTTGGATAAGATACTTCTTGTCAGAGCATGAGAACTGTCTGGCAAGTGAAAGTGGTCCCCATTGATCCTGTTGGAATCTGAGCCTAGACCTTCTGTGTATGACTACAATGGACAAAAGCCAACTATAATTGGCCGCTTAGCATGGTCTTTTGCCACTGTGCTCAAGTTGCAGATAATCCCAGCACCCTCACCGCTCGTGCTACGTGCCTGGTATGCACCGCCTGTCCAGAATCCATGGGCTACATTCATTTTAACCAGAAAGGATGAAACTACTACTATTGTCACAGTTGCAGGGGAGGACCACCCCAACCAAATGCCTGCTATGCTTTTGTCTTATTGCCCTTAATTTGCTCTTCCTGGGAGAATGTCGGGGAGCGCCTTCCTCCCCTGGGCTGCCACTTAAGTGGAAATGCACAACCGATCTGGTGGCTGAGCCTGTAGACTGCTGCCCATAACGAGCAGAGATGAAACACCTTGGGCAGTGCTCCCCCTTCCACGTCTCGGGGAACATGGATGGGACAGGCAACCTGTGCGAACCTGGGAAGTCTGACTCCCAGGACTAGGGCTAAATGGTCCCTCCTTCCATTCTGAACTTATTACAGTCTAGTTAGACATCACACCAGCTCTTTCCTGGTCCTCACTGGTTATCACATTTGGGGTGGCTTAGGATGGGTATGTGCTGAACATTAAGGACCAAGTCATGCACAATGTGCTCACAACACACTCCTTCCTTCCTACCCTGCTCCTCCCTTCCTTTCCCGCTCTCACTCTTGTTCCTTGGGTGGCCCCGCCAACTAGTCCAGACCTCTGATTGACCCATGCGGCCCAATCCAAGGATCTCCAGACACTTGGTGCTAAGCCACCTGAATTTTATTCACAAATGAAAAGGAATTTAAAAAGATCGATTTGCTTAATTTTCCTAAATGACAACTCATTCCCAGACCAGTGATAAGGGCAACTTCGGGGCCTGTCCTTTAGATTCAGAGCCAAGAGGAAACACCAGTGGTCATTCCTGGAGCCACTGTCAGCTGCGGACTGGAGGTGGCCTGTCCCCCACCTGCTTCACGTCCTGGCCTACTCAGAAACAGCACTGCTGTCTGCTGACCTGTCAGCTCAGGGGTGGTTCTGGCTGATCAAGGGACAACCCCAAGTGACTGATTCAGGAATAGGCATGTGACCCAATCTGGGACTATGAAGAGGCTGCTCAAAGTTTCTCAGGGAAGCACGCAGCCAAATCCACATACACCAGTGCTCTCTCTGCAAATGAAAAGATAAAAGTAATCTCTTGAGGAGGGTTTTGAGGAAATTGTCTTTTAAGCTGGAGATGTACAAGGAAGCAACCACCTCTGGTTACAGGAGCATCCTACAATCCAAACACAAATGAGATAAAAGCCACAGATAAAAGCTAACACATAAAGGAGGGTGCAGTTGAGAGACTTTTGGAGAAACAGAGCCTAACTATGCCTACCTCCTGACTTATATTCTAAATGAGTAATATTTCTCAATATTACACTGGTACTGATTCTATAATCAGAAAAATATATATCCTTAAAATATCAATGAGTAAGGAAAAAAACAAATAAATACGGGCCATGCTAAAGGAGAGATTCCTAAAATACTAGATAACAATTTTTCCTCCAACCTTTTGCTGGGTATTTCTACATACGCCTCCTTATCATATTATGTGATGTTTTTAATTAAAATTGAGTTTGTCAGATCCACAAACAACAGGTGCTGGCGAGGCTGTGGAGAAAAGGGAACTCTAGTCCACTGTTGGTGGGAATGCAGACTGGTGCAGCCACTATGGAAAGCAGTGTGGAATTTCCTCAGAAAGCTGAAAATGGAACTGCCTTTTGATCCAGCGATTCCCCTGCTGGGACTATACCCTGAGAACACCAAAACGCCAATACAAAAGAACCTATGCACCCCAATGTTCATAACAGCACAATTTACAATAGCCAAGTCTTGGAAGCAACCTAAATGCCCATCAGTAGATGATTGGATCAAAAAATTATGGTACATATACACAATGGAATACTACGCAGCAGAAAGAAAAAAGAAGTACTAAACTTTGCGACAGCATGGATGGAACTGGAGAGCATCATGCTAAGCGAAATAAGCCAGGGGGCGAAAGACAAATACCATACGATCTCACCTATAAGCGGAACCTAACCAACAATGCAAAGAAGCAAGGAAAATATGACCAGCAACACTGAAAGGAAAAGAAATCAACAGAGACAAGAGGGAAGAGGGGGGCAGGGAAAGGGAAGGGAAGGGGAAAGTCAAGGAACATATAGCAAGGACTCATGGACAAAACCAAAGGGGAAGAGCTGAGGGAGGGAAGGTGGGAGGGGGCAAGGGAAAGAGGTGGGGGGAAGGCAGAGACAAATGTATTTAAAAAGTAAATAAATTAATTTAAAAAAAATAAAATAAAATAAATAAAAAATAAAATTGAGTTTGTGCTCTTTAGAAAATGCTCAGATACTTCAATCACAAGAAGAGTATAATCAGATCAAAAATACAGAATGGAAAGGGGATTAATGGAGGGGAGGCTGCCAAGTTTCAGAGCCCTTCCTACTCCCCTCCGCCAAGTTTTCTTTTTTTAATCAATTATTATCACTGTAATAAACATTTTAAAAGCCAGGACAACATTCTCACCCTGGACAAGATGACCTCTTAGACAAGGGAAAATGTTTTTACCACACTCCACTCAAAAAGCGACTTTTTATTTTTGGTATCAGAATTGTCATAATCATTTATTTACAGCCATCCCTCCTTCTCCCTTACTGTTCACTTTCTGTTTGTGCAAACAATTGAGCTGATGATGTTGGTTGACATGCAGCCCAAAAGTTTCCAAGAGCTAATGTAGGACTGTTAGGGGAATTTGATAACATTTCTTCCTCACTCTAACATTAATGATGTGGGACTCTGGCCTACCCTCTGAAGTCTTTCTTTCACCCTCTTCCTACCTCTTCACCTATCCTAGACTTACACAACTATCTTGTTTCTCTACTCTTACACCCAGGCTGCTCAATGTGGTAAAAGAAAAATACACATTCACACAACCAATGAAAGCTGAGTGTCACATATTCTTACGGTCTTGAAATTTATGGTCCCTCTGTCATTTTGGAGAATTAGCTCCATTTCCCAACCTCATTCTTTCAAGTCCCTGTACACAAACCTCCTGGGCTCCACCATCCCTCCAGCTTCCACTTCCTGTACAGGCAAGAACTCCCTCAATGTCATATGTCCAGCAACACGTGTATCCACATTGCCAACGATTATAATACCTTTCCTTGTTAGGTCAGAAAAGGATGACTCCTCCCACATAATAAAGAGTTAAACAATAACAACAACACTCACAATGCCCATATCCCTCATCCTACATAAAGCTTTATGACCCATTTTTGCCCTAGATCCCATCCTCTCCTCCTTCCCTTCATCCCATTAATCCTTCTCTCGAAGTTCTCTGTTATCTCCTTCCCCTCAAAATCAAGTCCCCAGACTTCCACTTCCTGACAAGATAAAGAAACAATGAGATTTACCTCTCCACCTGAAACAACTTTTTAAAAAAAGAATCAAAATATATATAAAACAATGGTTTTTCAAACACTGGACATCAGACAAAAGAAAATGATGCCTGAAAGACTGGAAACAAAAGCTGTGGAAACAATAAACTGTAACTTCCCTTTGCTTATAGCCTCGAAAGCATTTCCAAGCTGCAGTGTAGGGAGGGGAACCCAGGTGGAGCCTGGTGAACCACTTCAGCTGAGGTGATGGAGTTGAGAGTCTTAGAAGACCAAGGCGATGAGAATCCACAGGACAGAGTAACAGGAGGAAAGAGTTGCAGGGAGAGAGAACGCAGGAGATCTCCAGAGGGTCCTACTCCAGTAGTCAGCAGCACACTTAAGAGCATGTGTGTGTATGCAACCACTAGAAGCTGGGGAAAGAACCACCTAAAAGCCTGAAAGAGAACAGTAACCTGAGCTCCCACAGGGCTAGGATGTTTGGGGGATGCAAATGTATAGTCCATAGCAAACCCCAATAAACAAAGAAATACCATAATTAGGTTGGACCTGTAACCTGAGAATTCCCACAAGCCAACAAAATTAAGAGGACAGCACCATTTTACATAAAAACCACTCCATAAATTTTGGTGCTAGTTCACACGGGGGCTGGCAGGTGCGGGGGGAGGGGAATACTAAGTACCTTCTTAGTGCCAGGCACCACTGAGGATCCAGTAAGACATGATCCCTGCCCTTAAGTGCCATACAGTAGCCTTCAAAATAGACTCATCATCAACTCCCTCGCTGAAATACCTCTTTGGCTTTTTGCCAGGAGTCAGCTAAAAAGTTCCCTTCTTGAAAAGGCTTTCCTTTATCACCCTAAAGCTATTCTCAAGTAGTAGCCCACTTCTTTATATTTTTCACAATCTCTAATTATCCCCCATGCACATTTAGAATATAAGCTCCACAGATGAAGAAATCTTGTCTGTTGTCTTCACCACTGTACCCTTGATGACTAGCACAGTTTATAACCATTGTAGGCATTCAATTGCTTACTGAATTAATGTAAACAAGAACTGTGACCAGGATAAGCTTCCTAATGATCAACATTTCCCAAGTAGTTAGCCTCCAAACCCCACAGTTTGGTTCCCTTTGTTACGAAAGAGTATTCTGATTACTCACCTCTACCTGAGTAACGTTGATGACCAGCACCACCACCATCACCATTGCAAGCAGACAGCACAAAGGCCGTAGTTTTAAGAAACTGATCCCCATTATCTGGCTGTGTCTTGATCATCCATGGCTGACACCACGCTACCTTCACTCCTCAAAACTCCATGTCTTTGTTTTCCTGAGCTGCAGGTGAGCTTTCAGTTTAATTTGCTTTCTTCCCCTGTTAGCATCTTGAAGAGTTCTTTGTATAGAGGAGAAGCTGGGATTGATTTAAGAAGCACATTTTTCTTCAATGGACTCCTGCAAAAAGGGGAAGCCAAAAAACACATCAGCAACTGTAACAGCCTGGGATGGGGTAAGAGGAAAAATACCACATTTCCTCTTTTTTAACTTGAAAGGCCCAAAGTCATACTGAGAAAGCAAAGAGCCAGAGCAGAGTAACATCCAGTCTATATCCAGACAATTTACGGAAACCCAACCCCGGGCTTCTGTATAAATACGATTATATTGATCCTACTACATATTTAGGTTTAAGAAAGCAAAAAATAATGTCTTTAAATTCTCAGGAACTGCAAAGTTAAAGTAACTTAAATGTCTACAGAAGTCTAATAAAATCACTTCAATTTCGTTATAGTTCAAGTTATATAACACTATTGGAGTGATTTTATTTAAAAAGCATTAAGAGGAAACATTGTGCTCTTATGAGGAGTTCTGACATACTCTGGAAAACAAAGAGTGCTGTCCCCCTGCATGGCAGAAAACAGGAAACACCCTTTGGGTCTCCAGCCCCACCAATACATACATATGTGGTCCCAATACTCCCTCAGCCAAGCAACAAGGCACAGGAGGAAAAGACAAGGCCCTGAAGATGAAGGAGATGAAAGCTAGGCTTAAGGAGTGAGTTAACAGGACACCCAAATCCTTCATCGCATCTGCTGGAGGCAGAGGACTTCGGAGTCTGCTGCTCCTGTTCTCCCATGTAATGAATTCAAAATGCTCTCTCCAGGTGCTATTTTGATATAGGTAAGCAGAGAAAGTGCTTGTATTTTGTTCCCAGTGAGGCTTTCCATGGCGGACACAGTGGACAGGTAAAGGTGAAAAGGGTGGACGGTCATGGTGCAGACCTCGGAATACCTCAGCTGCACCACTTGCTCCCTGCAGCTTGGTGTTGGACTGGTAAGCCCCCTCTTCCCTTGCTCACCTACTCCCCCATCTAACTCATTCCTATACCACAGGACCATGACAACCCTTCCTTATCCCAGCTTTTTGAAGGAGGCAAGGCTAAGCTATTGCAACATACTCTCCATCCTCAAAATTCCCATAGCACTTAAGATATTTACTTCTCAGCTGATCTCTGTATTTGTGTGTATTTCTCGTTTCCCAGCTACATGATACCATTTATGACTATATTAAAAAAAGAAACAGAAACCATATATCATTAAAAAAACTTAATGCTGATAATGTACCATACTTTTTGACTGTCTCACAGTACTTAGCTATATGATATCAGTTGATTGAACATGTCAAACAAAAAATAATTATGGAGATGTAGTCTGTACTGCACACTGTACTAAGTACCAGAAATTACCCTGAAAAAGCTTATACTCATATTAGGCAAGAGGTAGTTCCCCTCATAACTTAAAGAAAAATAAATCTATCACCCCTGGCCACCTCCATAGGGATGCCATGTACTGCGAATGCCTGCACTTACCCATTTCATAATCCCCCAACACTGCCCCTCTCCAACACCCAGACACCCACCCTCGCTAAAGTGCCTACAAATTCTGGGGAGAAAATGGTTGTGAAATATAGGAAATAACATTGTCATCAGGGCCCCAACTGCTCCTCTGTAGAAATTCTTCTTGAGGAGTTGGCCATAAGAATCAGGTTTTCCTAATGGCCAGAGAGGGAGATGCCCAGAGATGAGACTCCATCAGAATTCAGCTGCACCATGGTAGGCATGGCCTATGTAATGCGCGAACACCGTCAGTTTAGACAACGTCAGCATGGTTCAGAGTGAGTCAGCAGCAGCACAGCAGTAGTCAGTGGTGCAGAAGGATGGGAAGGGCAGCAGATCCCAGAGCTAAAGGAACGGCAGGTCCACATGCAGCAATGCAAACATGCAGAAAGCCCCTCACGGCCAGAGACTTCTACTGAAAATCATTATCATGGTTTTAGAAACCATAAAGCTGGTTTCTAAAAGCAGTAACTAAAGATATGACGGAAGGAGAAACAAAGCATCAAATCTAATATGGGACAACAATTCAATTTAAAATGAAACATTTAAGACTTTAAAAACAAAGCCTATATTAAGAGACAAAGAAGGACATTACTTAATGATAAAGGGAGCAATCCAATAAGAGGCTACAACCCTTCTAAACATTTATGGACCCAACACTGGAACACCTAAATATATAAAGCAAATATTGATGGACATAAAGAAAAGGTTGACAGTAATACAGTCATAGTAGGGGAATTTAATACTCAACTTATTCAAGGGATAGATCCTCCAGACAGAAAATAAACAAGGAAACAGTAGTCTTAAGTTACATACTAGACAAGCTGAATTTAACTGACATATTCAGAGCATTTCACCCCAAAGCAACAGAGTGAACATGGAACATTTTCCAGGATAAATCATGTTAGGCCACAAAACAAGCCTTAATAAATTTTAGAAGACTGAAATCATATCCAGCATCTTCTCTGACCACAATGGTATGAAACTAGAAATCAATTACAAGAAAAAAATGAAAAAACATACAAACACACAGAGACTAAATAACATGTTACTAAACAATAAATGGGTTAACAATGAGATCAAAGTAAGGTCAAAAGATACCTTAAGACAAGTGAAAATTAAAACACAACAATCCAAAATCTATGGCACACAGCGAAAGCAGTCCTAAGAGGAAAAATTCAAGAAACAAGAAAACTCTCAAATAAGCAATCTAAATTTACACCTAAAGGAATTAGAAAACAACAAAAACGACAAAGCCCAAAGTACAAGAAAATAAAATAATAAAGATCAGAGTAGAAATTAACAAAATAAGTCTAAAACAACAACAGGAAAAAATCAATGAAACCAAGAGTTGGTTCTTTGACAAGACAAAGTTGGTAACTCTTTAACCAGACACATCAAGAATACAAGATGTCTCAAATATAAAATCAGAAATGAAAGAGGAGAAGCAACAACTTACACCACAGAAATACAAAGGATTGTAAGAAAATATTATGAACAATTATATGAAAACAAATTGGACAATCTGGAAAAAAATGCATAAATTCCTAGAAACATACAATCTTCCAGACTGAAACCAGAAATCAGAAAAGCTGAACAGGCAGATTACAATCAACAAAACTGAAGCAGTAATCAAAGAGCTCCCAACATATTTATCTGAATAAACCCAAAACACTAAGGCAAAAGAAAAATATATGTACCCCTATGTTCATTGCAGCATTATTTACAATGGCCAACATATGGAAGCAACCCAAGTACCCATCACCAGATGAGAGGATAAAATAGCTGTGGTACATTTACATAATGAAATATCACTCATTCACAAAAAAAGAATAAAATCGTATCATTTCTGACGGCATGGATGAACCTAGAGAATATTATACTCAGTGAAATAAGTCAGTCAGAGAAAGACAAATGCCATATGATTTCACTCATATGTGGAATCTAAAGAGCAAAGTAAATGAACAAACAAAATTAAAACAGACTCATAGACATAGAGACCAGACTGGTGATTACCAGAGGGAAGGGTGATTAGGGGACTGGATGAAAGGGGTAAAGAGATTAAGAAGTTCAAATTAGCAATTTCAAAACAGTCACAGAGATGTAAACTATATCATAAAAATATAGTCAACAAGATGGTAATAACTAAGTATGGGGTCAGGTGGGTTCTGGAAATAATCAGGGGGAACACTGTATATGATTGTCTAATCACTGTGCCATACACCTGAAACAAAACAAAATAATACCGAAAGTAACTATAATTGAAAAATAAATTTTAAAGAAACTCCCAACAAGCACAAGTGATTTCTGCCAAACATTTAAAGAACTAATATCTATCCTCCCCAAACTATTCCAAAAAGTTCAAGAGGAGGGAAGACTCCAAACCTCATTTTATGAGACCAGTATTATCCAAGTCTAAAATCAGATAAAGATACTATGAAGAAAGAAAATTATAGACCAGTATCCCTGATGGACACAGATGCAACAATCCTCAACAAAATATTATTAGCAAACCAAATTCAACAATACAAAAAAATCAAACACCATGATCAAGTGAATAAAAATGCTGTGGTATGTATATACAATGGAATATTACTCAGCCATAAAATAAATGAAATTTTACCATTTGCAACAGCATGAATGGAGCTAAAGAGTGTTAGGCTCAGTGAAATAAGCCAGTCAGAGAAAGGCAAACACCATATGATTTCACTTTTATGTGGAATCTAAAGAACACAATAAACAAAATAGAAACAGACTAATAGATGAAAAGAGCAGACTGATGATTGCCAGAGGGACTAGGTGAAAAAGGTGAAGGAATTAAGAAGTAAAAATTGGTAGTTACAAAACAACCACAGGAAGGTAGAGTAAAATATAGTCAATAATACTACAATGGCATAGCAGGCTACAATTACAGTGCTTCTTTTTGTGAAAGTACTGCCATTATCCTGCTGAAAGATAATCTTGTGTTGATCATTTTTTTGTTTTCCCTTTATGAGGGTAAAATCATGACAGACTGACATGAACGATTCTGAAAGAAAGAGAACGTAATAATAGTAATAATAATAATACTGTAATCAATACGTATGGTACCAGATGGGTACTAGAAATATCAAGGAAACACCTTGTAAAGTATATGATTATTTAACCACTATGCTGTACACCTTAAACTAAAACAAAATAATACTGAATGTAAACTGTAATTGAAAAATAAAATTTAAGTTAATAAATAAAAAAATGAAAGATTTCAAAGTGAAAGAAATATGTAACAGGTTTCTGTGATTCTCCTTCAAATGATAAATGTAGGGATGACAAAAAAGTTATTTAAAAAGAAAGCAGGAAAATATGCTTTAATATCTTAGATTGTACTTAGAATTGAATAATAAGAGTGCTAGATGGAAATGACTCTGGAAAAAAATTTCCTGGATCAACCAAAAAATTAAAAAATATAATAAATGTAATTTACCTTTTTTTTGGAAATTTCCAGTTCCCAAGAAGAGAAGCTTATTAGAATGAAGTGTACATCTAACTTCTTTCCCATGTAAAGTCCTGACCTCAAGCAATCTTGACAGCAGCCCTTATTCTTTTCTTGCCACATTCAAAGCATATGTTGAGGGGTTTTTTTTTCCATTTTTATACCATTATTCTTGCTGCAACAGAGATAAGCACAAAGTACAGGGTTAAAGATACTGACCATGAAGTAAAGGAAAAAGTACTTGAAATAAAGAATACAATTTTATAGCAAAGATGTACACAGACATCGGTACAAAATGGAGGAGTGGAGATAGGAATATTTCCTTTCCTACCAATAAAAAACAGTAACTGGCTATCTATATACATAAACTTAAATATGGCAAATCACTCTCAGATCTGAGCTGAAGGTCAAAACTTAATGAACAGCAATATAGCTGAAAAAAAATATAAGCCATAAATAAAAAGCTCCATGTGTTACTTTTCTTAAAGACTAGAATAATCATGTGGTTCAACAATTCACCCTACCACTACAGAAAACAAGAGGCATCTAGAGATATCCAAAAGTTATAATCACTCCACAGGGAATCGAAACTTGACCGATCCTATTTTCAAATCTTTCTGAAGGGTCAGTCCACCATTTACTCATGCTTCATATTTATATTCAAGAGACAAGCAAAAAGTAAAATGCATGGTTTGTTTTGGCAAATTCTGATTAAGACTACTTACCAGGCAACATAATTTTTTTATGGCCTGTGGCAACAACCCTAGACTGTCATTAGGTAACTGCCTTCCTATCCATTATCTCACAAGAGAATTACAAAGTGATTACTTATATTACTTAGAATTACAATTGTCAATAACACAAATGAAATACTTGAGTTCAATACTAAACAGAAAATTATGCAGCAACCCCATCCTCTGGGGACCCAATGTTCTTAGACAACCATTCCACAAATATTTTAGAGGACGACCACGTGTCCAGTTTTTGGGATGGTCCCCAACCTAAATACTATGACCTGTAACTGTACTTGTCAGAGCAAGTGTCTGCAATTTTAATTCAGAATACATGAACCGCTACATAAAAGACAAAAGCACAGATTTACAGAATAAATCCGAACTAATCTTTATATCTAAGCTTTTCAAAGAGCGGCTGTATTTTTCATAGGGTGCTAGTAAGACCTTGAAACTTAACAGGGAAAGGTCGAATGAGAGAAAGAGAAACTCATCTAAGGCCATGGTCATGATGGGTCCACCAAATAAGGTCAGCCCTCGGACAAAGATGAAGCTGGGTGACAGGTCTGCAGGGCTTGTTTTCCCAGATCCCATTTCTCCTTCATGCACCCCCACCTCACAGGCCCACCTCACCCGGTGCCTATGCTTTCTTTGGTGGTGGGAGGAGGGAGATAGAGGAGTGGAGAAGTAAACAAATCAATTAAATAAGTCATAGAGTAGTAACTGCTATAAGAAAAAATAGGGCACACTGATAGAATATGGCCTTCAATCTTGCATGCACATTAATATCGTTTGGAACCTTTAAAAATACCAATGCCTGACCCGACCAGATGAATTATGTCTAGAATCTGTGGGAGGAGTGCCCAACAAACAGCTTTTTAAAAAGTTCTCCAGATAATTTTAATGTAGTGCCAGGTAGTGGAACCACTAGCCAGGGAGTGTTACTTCAAAAAAGGCCTTTCTGAAATATTTAAATAGTAACTTACATCGCACCCTCAGGACACTCCAATTCCAGAGCAAAGTGGACAGCCAACAGCACTTTTGAGATCTAGCCCTTTGTTTCTCTTCTCAGAAAAAAAACAAAAAACCAAACAAACCAACAAAAAAAAACAGCACTTTATCAGACCCAGAGAAACTGTGAAGCCAACAGACACGGAGAGGAGACAGTCAACAGTCAAAGGAAAGCACTAGGGAAGAACCCTGCACCACCGCCTCCACGGCGGAATGAGACAATTTATCGGGGTCAGGGAGCCCCGCCAGCTTCAAGCACACACACCCTGATGTTTCCAGCTGATAATTAACTACTGCAAGGGGTGGGGAGGCCTATCAGATCAGTGTGACTGACAACAATTCTCCATTAGAGTAAATAATGAAAAACAAGAAAAAGTTTACAAACCGGCAATTACAAACAATTTTTTAAAAATTAAACCCCGGTGCCCTGACTGGTGTGGCTCATGGGGCTGAGCATCCTTCCGCTAGGTCGGTTCCAGTCAGAGCAAGTGCCTGGGTTTTGGGCCAGGCCTACCCGACTGGGGCGTGTGAAAGGCAACCAATCGACATTTTTCTCACTGTCTCCCTCCCTTCCTCTCTCTCTTCAAATAAATACATAAAATAAACCCAGCATGAAAATCCCTCTTATCAGTCTAGTGGCTTCTGCTTAAGAGGAGATGGGCAACAGGCCAGGGTCTCCACATCACACCTGGTAAGGTCACACTCGTTTCCCCCCGTACGTCTTGAATCATATGTCAGCGAGGCCAGAGCTGTCCAACATATTGGTGAGCAGAGAAGCGATGGTACGCGAGATGGCCCTGAGGAGGTGGAGGGTGTCCCAGCGGCTGTCCCACCGTCCCGAGGTCTGGCTCCGCAGTGCTGCGCCCGCGGCTGCACCTGCCGGCGTCACAGCACCGCAAGTCAAAAACGCTGCGGGTGGAAAAGCTCCCGCCCCGCCCCGCCCCGCCCCGCCCCCTCCCTGCAGGGACCCGCAGCGGCTCGGACAGCCGAGTCCGAGGCTGCGGCAGCCTGGGGCTCCCACTCTGCTTCCGCCTTCGGCCGGAGCCTTTCCTTCCAGACTCAAACGCCCCAGCCGTGCTGCACTAGTTCGGCGCCAGGCCACACAGGGACAGGGACAGGGACAGGGACTCCGGAGCCGGCGCGCGCTGAGGAAAGAGCTTGGAAGCCGACAGACGCGCGAAAGGAGTCGGGCAAAGGCTCGCTCAGGCGGCAGAGGCCCGGGCCGAAGCCCGCACACACCGCACAGGTCCGCACTCACCTCCAGGTCTGGCCTGCCCCCCGCAGCTGGACACACTGATGCCCAGATCAGTCGCCGCTATGCCGGGATGCCAGGACCCCGCTTCCGGACCCCGCTACGTCGTCTCACCCCCGACCCCGGGCTACGATTGGTTGAGCTCGGGGAGGGGCGGGATGAGGATGCCGAATGACAGCCGCCAGCGCGGAACCGAGGGAGCTGAGCCCCCGAGCCTCCGCCGCGAACTTAGGGCCTCCAGCGCTTTGGACCATCTCTCATATCCCGGCTCCTTCGCGCAAAGACGTCCTGCAGCTGTCGCCCTGTGGCCTGACTCTGGGCCCTCTCGGGACGCAGCTGCACGTCGCCTTCGGACAGCAGGTTTTCCTCAGGAAGCATCCGTTTCAAGTCTCTTCTTGTCAGCGACGTGACCAAACCGGAGATACCCGTGCATGGGTCGTCTTCCCTCTGACAGGCGCAATGTATTGTTCCCTGTATCCGAGAAACACAGTTTGCCAAGCACGAGCACTTTGACGGCTAGTCCTTGAATCTTTATTGGCTTGTTAATAGTCGACTTATTTTCTTTGCCCTTGAAACAGCCCTGTTTCTTTTACTGTCTGTACGCAAGACACAAGTCTTCCGGCAAAAAGCCTGAACGCCCCATGCCGTCCCCCCAACACCGAATTCTGGGCTATCCTATTTTGGACATTCTTCTAACCATTAAAAGTCTGTAGTAGCCTTGTGAAATTCAGGAACTGACAGGAGTCCTTAGAACACAGACAAGCCCTTGCTCAGGAAGCAGGAAGGAATCACAGCGCTGGGAGCATATTGGAGTTAACCGAATTTATCCAAGCAAAGCGCAGGCTCTAGAAGTAGACCTGCCCCTCTTACCTCAAGGTTGAGGAAGAATTCACATAAATTACAACTAATATTAATCATTTTTACGTGTGTTGACCACAATGGACTCTACTTGCTCATTTCGATGTTTTAATGGCAGTACTACAGTACTACATGCATGAATGACTGGCCAGACTCATGAAGGGAGCAAAGGAGGTTCTGTACTGGGCAGTCTCTTCTGGAGTAAGCATTTCATTCTCCTCATTCCTCAAGGAAATTCAACCTTCCAGGGCCTTTTGTAATCATAAAAAGTGTTCCATTGCCTCCGTGCCTAATGATGAAGAGCCCCATATGATAGACTTTTGCTCTATCAACTTCTGTCTCCCGGTAGATGAACTCCCAACCGCCTTTCACAGTTTAGCTGTCTGGCAAGTGGCACAAACTTCAACGGGAATTGCTAACTTCTAAATCATGGTTTTGGACTGCATTAGTGATGCTTATTAACCCCATTCACACAGGCAGTCAAAACAAAGGAATTTGAGGGCTCTCATGTATATCTTGCAGTCATTATAGCCACAAACAAGAGTGGCTGGACCAGAGTCCTGTTCATCACTACTAGATTCGTAAAAGATCCCTGACTAGAAAGCCGCCACATCCCTATTGCAGAATACTACCATACAAAGAATATGCACTTTTGGTTCCTAGTGTGCCTGGGTCTGATCCACAGCTTTGCCTCTTACTAGCAGTGCTATCTTAGGCAAATTACTTATTTTCCTCATTTCCTCAACTGTAAATTAGGGCAACACTAATCTACACTTAGGAATAAATGAGATGACAGATGAAAAGCACCTAGCATGGTATTCCAAATCTCTTCCTCTTGAATTCCCTATCTCAGGTTGTGACACAGTACAATGACTTTCCAAATGTTGCATATATTAAAACCTAACTTTGATAGCAGGAAAGAAAATGAGAACATATATAAATATATGTGTATTATGATATAAAACCAAAGAAACTGGTCATCTGACCTGTCTGAAAAAAATAATTGAGATGCTAATATTACTCAACTTTATTTCTTTAAGCAAAAGAAAGTATGTGTCTTAAGGTTAGATAGGCAAAAGCAAATTAAATCTGTTTCTGATGCATCTAACTTGGGGGATATTCACCAGCACATCTGGCTACGTCTCTGGCAGTGGAAGCTTGGAGGGTACAAGCACTCCTGAGTCCATGTCACTTCCTGATTTAGTTCCTTTGCTTCCTTCCTTTGAACAAGTGATTGAAATTGGGGCTCCAAGAACCGTCAAAAAAGCATTGTTCAAAATAAGTGACTGCTGTCATATTAGATACCAATCGCCCAAAAACACCATGAACTAACTGTGAGAGGATTCTGCCAAATGGAGGAGACTAGAAGGAAATTTTGATGCTTTTATTAGTCTGCTCAGGGTGTCATAATAAAGTACCACAGACTGGGTGGCTTAAACAACAGAACTTTATTTTCCTTACAGTTCTAGCACTAAAAGTCACTGACCAAGATGCCAGCTGATTCAGTTACTGGTGAGAGCTCTCTTCCTGACTTGTAAACACCTTCTCACTGTGTCCTTACATGGCAAGGAGAGAATGAGAACTCTTTGGTGTCCGTTTGTCCTCTTAAAAGGACATTGATCTCATCAGATTAGGGATCTACCCTTATGACCTCATTTAACCCTAACTGCCTCTGCTGGGAATGGCAATCTCTTGCATACAGTCTTTCATGCACCCAGCCTTGGCCAGGAGCATTTCCTTGTCAAGAGATGAGTCCCCGCAGCCTGTGCTGGGCTAGTGGCCTTGTGTGGGAACATCTTTCCCTGTTTCAGAATTCATGTATATTCCTTTGTTCTGCTTAAGAGACCCCAGAGAGCTCCCTTGCCCCTTCCACCATGTAAGGACATAGCCAGAAGATGGTCATCAGTGAATCAGGAAGATAGCCCTTCCCAGATCCTGAACCTGCTGGTGTCTTGAGCTTGGATTTCCCAGCAACATCCAGAACTATGAGAAATAAATTTGTTGTTTATAAGCCACCTAGTCTATGGTATTCCATTATAGCAGCCCAAATGGACTATGGCACTTACATTATCCAGTCAAAACCAGTTTTCCAAAGTTACTTAGGTCATCTCCCTTTTTCCTACCCACTTCAGTATCTTTATGCCATATATTTGTAGTACAGTTAAATTCATCGTAGTCCACATTCCATCCTTAGATCCCCTGACATCCTGCTTAAGATTTAAGGGGTTAAATGTGCATAGAGTAAAACTTTTGTTTACTGTCCTATAAGTTTTGACAAATACACAAGATCATGTATCCACAACCATAGCATCATATACAATGGTTTCATCACCCTAAAAATTTCCATGTGCAGCCCCTTTCTTAACTCCTGGCAACTACTGATCTGTTTTAAAAAGTCATATCCTCTCAGCTCCATATGTTAGATTAACTAAATTTAAAAGAATATTGTTTAAGGTGCAAAAAGATTCCTTTACCTTTGAACAAAAATGAAACATTACAAGAAAATCTTTGCTGTTCTGATGACTTTTATTCCCTTTCCAGAGTATGTACTCCCATTTCTATCAATTTGAGTTCTATTTATTTCCAAACCAGTTTATGCTATCTATGTTATTGTAATTATATAATGATCTATTATATGAACCTTGAAATCAAATATGAAAAAGAGAAAATATTCTTGGAAAACAATGTTGAAGGTTTTGGAAAGACTCCAAAGTGAATTGCTCAAAACAGTAAAACAAAAATCTTCTATTAAGTACGGACAAGTAAATTACCAAAGATCAGGGGGAGAAATTATAAAAATCTAGATGTATTCTGTGTTCAGATTTATGAGTGTGTTTAAGTTCTCACTCCATTTTAAGAAACTAAAATTTGAACTGTTGCTTGTTAGGTAGAATTTACAAAAGCCCCAGAACTCCAGAGCATTAATACCCAGAGAAAATAGCACTGAAAAACAACAAAGTTGAAAGACTCACATTATCTAATTTCAAGACTGAGTATAAAGCTACAGTCATCAAGATAGTATAGTAATGAGATATTAACAAATTAATGGAACAGAATAGAATCCAGAAATGGACACATACATATTTGGTCAACTGATTTTTGACAAAAGTACCAAGGTAGTTAAATGGGGAAAGGCCAATCTTTTCAACAGCTGGTGCTAGACACCTGGGTAATCATATGCAAAAATAAACCTCAAACCATATAAAAATAACTCAAAGTGGATCATAGCCTTCAATGTAAAAACTAAAACTATAAAACTTCCAGAAAAGAGACAGGAGAAAATCTTAGTGGTATTAGGTATTACAAAGATTTCTTAAATACGGCACAAAAAAAGGCATAAACTATTAAAAATATCAATACATTGGGCTTCCTCCAAAATCTAAAATAGTTCCCTTTGAAAATATATGATTATCAACATAAAAAGACAACCCACAGACTAGGGAAAATATTTTATATTTGTTGAAGGATTTTTATCTAGATAATATAAGAACTCTCACAACTCAAGATGAGACAAACAGCCTCATTTTAAAAATGGGCAAGTTTTGCCCTCGCCAGTTGGCTCAGTTGATTGGAATGTTGTCCCAATATGCCAAGGCTGTGTGTTCGATCTACGGTCAGGACATATTCAGGAATCAACCAATGAATGCATGGATGGGTAGAACAACAGGTCAATGTCTCTCTCTCTCTCTTTCCTTCCTTTCTCTCTCTCTCTCTCTCTCACACACAGACACATAGACACACACACACACACACCCTTGAAATCAATAGTAAAAAAAAAAATTTCTTAAATGGGCAAGTTTTTGGAAAATTTCACCAAACTGTGATATAGCCAAAGAAAACATACAGATGGCAAATAAATTTTAAAATGTTCAACATCATTAGTCATTAAGATAAGATAGATTAAAAACCACAAGGAGACACAACTATATGTTGGGAAACTCCCCATCTGGTTTCAGGAACTGTAGATCTGCCGATAGGCGCAAGGGCCCCAAGACTGGAAATAATCAAAGAGGCCTTGGGAAACAGGCCACTGAGGAGACAAAACCTGTCCTCCTGGCAAGGGACGCAGCCCCTGCCTTCCTCACATCACCCTGCTTGGCCCTGGGAGATGGCTGGTAGTCAATGATGGGTAAGACCCCTCAATGGAAGGGACAACCTAAGCCAGGCACAGCCGCAAGTGGGCATCAGGGAAGAACTTGGGGGACACGGAGAAAGGGCAAAAGACCCTCACGCCCAGCTCTGATAT